AAAGCATTGGATAAACCAAAAGGTATTAGCATGCATTCATAAAGACCATCCCTTATCTTGAAGGTTATTTTTTCACTTATCTCTAGGCCCTATTCTGATTTGATGATAACTACTGCGTAGGTCTATCTTAAAAAAATAGTTGCTCTATGTAGTTGGATTAGCAAGTTATCTAAGTACAAAATAAGAAAGTGATAGTCAACTATGATTTTATTGATTGCCTTACTATCCACACGTATATGCCACGATCCATCCTTCTTAGGCACCAAAAGGGCTGGGACTATGCAAGGGCTTATGCTTTCACGCACCATTCCTTTTCTCACTAATTCATCAACTTAGCATTGCAACTCTACATGTTCTTTAAGACTCATCCTATAGGCTACCTTATTGGGTAGAACAACTCTTGGGATAAGGTTTATGTAGTGTTGAATATCTCTCGTTGGTGGTAGACCAGCTGGTAACTTCTCTTGAATAACATCTTAAAATTCTGTCAATAATGGTTGTATCATTACAAGGGGTTTTTCATTATTTTTATTTTCCTTAATCAACACCAATGCACACATAGTACCATCCATCTTAATTTTTTATTGTAATTGGCCTTGGTAGACATCACAATGAGCTTGGTAGGGCCTAAGATGATTTTGTATCTATCCTTCATAAATGCGTAAATGTTGCGATAACCATCATAAATAACCCTCTTATCATAATGCCAAGGTCTTTCGAGTAGTAAATGGTAAACATCCATCAGAATTACATCATACTACACTTTGTCCTTGTAATTTTTTTTATGAAAAAAAAACCAACCTTTTGCTAATCTTGATTTCATTCTTTTTTTGCAACTAAAATAGTTTATATGGTTGGCAGTGATCTACTATCTTGAGACCTAATTTCTATACCATAAAGGTGGAAACAACATTTTTAAAACTTTCATTTTCAATTATAATATCACATACCTTTCCATAGGTAGTAAACTAAGTGTGAAACACATTTTTACGTAACTAATCTTCTTCTTTAGCAAGTGTAGTACTCAAGCTACATTGTATGACTAAAGATGCTCCACAATCACCATAGGTTACCTCTTCCTTCTCTTCAAGGTTTTGATCATCTTCAATTAGCTTTTTTTCATTTTCTTTCAAGTCTTTCTTTACTAGAGTCACAATTTTTCTGTTTAGGTATTCTAAAGTAATGTGTCCAAGCCCTTAACATTTAAAATACCTTTTGGTTTATGCACTGGACTAAAGCTTGCTTGTTGAGGTTCCATTTTTCTTTTGGGGATATTTTGGAATGGGCTTTAAAGAAACAATAGTCTTAGATGAGCCACATTTATTAATATAGCCTTTTCGAAAATCAAATCTTAAGTTGCTACCATGGCCCTCATTTTTCTATCTCTCATTCTTAAGGGAAGCTTACATATATCATTAAAAGTTTAATAAGATTATAGCTATACCACATTAGCTATCTCAATATTCAATCTTTCAAGATACTGGTTAATAGTCTACTCATTCTATTTACTAATTCGTATTTTAACATGAGGTGATCAAACTCAGTTATATACTCCTCCACTAAGAGATCTTTTTGCTTCAAGTTATGAAACCTAAGAAAAACATCTTGCTGAAAGTTGTCTGAGAGATATTTTTTCTTTAACTCTTTTTTCATCTTCTTTCAAGTTTTTAATTTTTCTCTTATATTCTATTTCCCTTTACTTTTTTAGATTTTTCCATAAAAATGATACATGCTTTTTAAGTTTAATGGCCACTAGCTTCACCTTCCGATATTCAAGGACGTCATGGTATTCAAATATGCATTCCACCGTGTATAGCCAATTTAAAAATTCTTCAGGTTGTATCTTTCTCTTAAACTCAATAATCTCTATTTTTGTATTGAATATGCTAGGTTGAAGTTGATTTCTACATAGATAGTCTCTAACTTACCGTGAGTGAGATAGAGTGTTATCATCAAAATCACTGTTGTTTCTATGGTATAGATTGATTTTTTTTTCACCTTTTTCATTCCTCTTTTGTTGTCTTTTTATCTTTTCTCTCTCTTTTTGTATATGCAACCGATGTTATAGTTGAAGGATTTATTATCGCATCTCCTCTATGAGGGCATCCCTTAGGTTAATATTGATAGTTGCTACAATGTCAGTGTTAGCTTCAACCTCTTATATTGGTGCTTAACGATGATGACATATTATAACTTTGATACTAATTTGATACCAAGAATTGATATTTGAGATGTGGAGATTAACTGTAAACAAAAAAACTCATAAAAAAAATAACTTACAAGGATTTGAATAATGACATAATATGATTATTAGATTAAAAATGATAAAAGTTCACCACCAAGACTAGAAATTAAAAGATATAGAAGCATCACTCTAAGAATTCTAATCAAGGATATAGAACAAAAGAAGTTCACCACTATAGAAAATTCATTTAAGAGATACAGAACTTGAAAAATAATCTAGAAGATTGCTTAAAGATAAAGAAAACTCTATTATACCTTCTACCAAAGAATAATAGAAAATATATAGGCTAGAAACATCTCTTCAAGCATGGAAACTTTCAAATTGCATTGTTAGAATCGTACCTAAAATCATGAGATTTGTATGTGAACATAATCTACCCATTTACTCTTGTAGATTATATGATAATGAATCTAACCATAATCCTATCCATATCTATGCTCTTCTTTTCAGCTAGTATGAACACAATCTTTCTATTCTAGCCATCTTATTTATGTATTTATTTAGTGGATTTGGACCAAGGATAGACCCATCTTATTTTTGAATGAGTCTGCCTTAGTCTCAGCTCAAGTTATATGATGTGCAAACGCTCCAGTGTCACTAGATATTACTTAATGGATAAAAAGACTTGCAGAAGAAGAATTTTAAGAGAAAAAATATTTTTAATAGACAAGTTTGACTTGCAAAAGAAGAATTCTAAGAGGGAAGAAATTTTTAATAGACAAATTTATATACTTATAAATAGGTGAAGTCTTTATATGATTAGGTATGAAAAAATGATGTAAGAGAGTTGTAGAATTTTATGAGATAAACACTTCATAGGACTACTAGGTATTTACATCTTATAGGTGTATATGTTTGAGTGGACTAGATGAGATTAAGAGGGTCCATAGAGGTATGGTGCATGTGAATGAATTAGAGGAGACTAAAAGGGTTCATATAGGTATGGTGCATGTGTGTACAAAAGTATGTATTTTTTTGGGTTGAGAATACTCCATAGGAGTAGAGGATATTAAAAGAGCATATGGATATTGATTGTTGAATGGTTGATATGATTTGTATTTTTGTAATTCTTTACAACTAGTGGATCTTATTTCTCATCCGTAGACGTAAGTCAATTAGACCGAACCACATTAAATTGCTATCTTTTTGTGCTTGATTGATTGATTAATTATTTGATTTTGCTTTCGTTGATGTGATTAGATTGACGTTAGTTGGCCTAACAAGTATTAGAGCTGAAGGTTCGAGACGTGGGGAAAACCATGGTTTGAGGCATGAAAAAAAGCAAGTATATAAGAGCTCAATTCAAGAAAGAAGTTTGAGTTTATGTTTTGAATATTAGTTTACATGAAACGTGAAGACACATAAGAAAATATGATTATGAAACTTCTATTGCAGGTGGAGCTAAGCATGTTTAGCATGAAGACAAATGATTTGATAGAATTTGAGTTAAGGTGGAGATTGTTGGGATTAATGATTCAAATTCCATAACAGATTTGTTTGGGATTAGCTAGATATTGCTTAATGAACAAGAAGACTTGCTGAAGAATTTTAAGAGAAAAAAAATTTCTTAATAGGTAAGTTTGATTTGCAGAAAAAGAATTTTAAAAGGAAAATGATTCTTAATAGGCAAGTTTGTATGCTTTTAAATAAGTAAAGTCTATAAAATTAGGTATGAGAAAAAGATGTAAGAAAGTTATAAGACTACTGGAGATATACGTCTTATGGGTGTATATGTTTGAGTGAACTAGATGAGACTGAAAGGGTCTACATAGGTATGATGTATGGATGTATAAAAATATGTATTTGTTTGGGTTGACAATACTCCATCGGATTAGAAGAGATTAAGATGGCATATGAGTATTAATTGTTGAGTGGTTGATATGATTTGTAAGTTTGTAATTCTTCACAACTAGTGGATATTGTTTTTTTATCTATGGACATAGGTTAATTGGACCGAACCACATTAAATTATTGTCTCTTATGTGATTTATTAATTGTTTGATTATGCTTCCGCTGGCTTGATTGGATAGAGACTTTTTACCTAACAAAAACATGATTAGGAAAATGAGCTAATTAAATGTCTCAAGGTTGTTATTCTCATATCCGGATCTTGGCTATTACATTATGGTTAGCTACCTCTAATTGGTTGATGGAAGTTATTGTAGTTTTCCCAAGTAGCTAAATCCCTTATTCAAATTAAAAGATCTGTCATCAGTTCCGTGTGATTTATTGATAAAACATTATGATTATGATTCAATTTTTTATGACAAGTCAATCCTTTTATGAGAAGATGAAATCGTTTATACAATTATTGAAAAAAAAATGTGGCTTATAAAAGTTGCCAACAATTTCTTTATCTTCCAGGAAGAAACCCATGCCATTAAAATAAGTTGGCAGACAACTAATCGATCAGAAGGGGTTCCAATACATTGGGGCCTTTTGTTCCAGATCCATCTGCCTACCTAACTGCTGAAATCAGATGTAGATTTGGCGTATTTATGGAAATGATGACGTGAAGTACTACTTGAACCATTTTGGAATTCAGAACTCTCGAACTTAATCCCTAAAACAACAATAAGGGGGGTGACAAAACAGGTCCATTGAAGAATTTATGTTCCAAAACAGGACTCATAGTATGGACAAATTGGTAGCTTTCCAATCTTTTTCGTTGAAACTGTATAATACGATTATCAAATATATAAGCCATTTTTTATAGCGACAACAATGTCCACATCTGCATGAAGATATAGAAAACCGCCACCCTTTATAACCTTTGCACACTACTGTTGTTATGTTTACAACTATTTGGAATCGATAATATCGTGGAGAGTCATTAATCCCTATGTTTTTTTTTTTTTTTTTCTTTTCTTACAATTGATAATCTCCAATAACAATGTTGGCTGCTTCTTCCATGGAGAAAGTACCTGCTAGCTCATCTGGGATTCAGCTTCCTCCTGGTTTCAGATTCCACCCTTCTGATGAAGAGCTCATAGTTCATTACTTGAAGAACAAAGTGAATTCGAGTCCTCTTCCAGCTTCTATTATAGCTGAGATAGATTTATACAAGTATAATCCATGGGAGCTGCCAAGTCTGTATAATTAATATTGCGCTTTCGTTCATGTCAGTCTTTTATATATTTTCATTTTCCCGGCTGAATAGTTAACTCTATTTTTTTTTCATATAGCTAAAGCTTGGTTTGGAGATCATGAATGGTTCTTTTTCTCACCAAGAGACAGGAAGTATCCTAACGGAGCAAGGCCTAATAGAGCAGCGGCTTCGGGGTATTGGAAGGCGACGGGGATAGATAAACCAATCCTAACTTCGTGTGGAACCAAGAGTATTGGAGTGAAAAAAGCTTTGGTGTTCTACAAAGGACGTCCTCTTAAAGGAACGAAGACAGAGTGGATTATGCACGAGTATAGACTGCTTGAAACCATGATTTGGACTCCTAAGCGAAAAGGGTCCATGAGGGTAAGAACTTTAGATTGATGTCTCGGTACTCGATATGTCTTTGAATACTGGATATGAAATTACCTAGGTTTAAGATAATAAGAATGGTTGGTTCCTGCTGATAAGCTAGTGTCTAAAAGAAAAACAGGACCCTTTGAATTTCTGAAAGTTGCTGCATGGTTTTACATTTATCTTTTCTAAATAATGATGATCTGATGAGACAAATTGGTTGTAATTTTTTTTATATATATGTTATAGTTAGATGATTGGGTGCTTTGTCGAGTGAGGCAAAAAGCCTGCATACAAAGGAACAGTTGGGAAGATAGAAATGTTACCGGTCATGAACCAGATAGTTATCTCCCAAAATTGAATGATCAGCTATGGCCTTCAAACGCGAACGACGACGTTGAGATGGCCAAAAGCTATCCATTCAATGACTGCACCATGTTACCTTACATTTTTGCATCTCAAGACCTTCCTTGCTTTGACACAACCTCAAGCATTAGCTTCCAGAGCAGTGACAAATCTTGCACTTCTGTCCAGGAGGCCAATTCTGATAAGAAGAATTTGCTGATTTCATTTTCATCTCTTGAAACCCTGTTTAATCCTTTGGAAAGAAAGTCCGTGGAAGGTTACCAGGCCACAAATTTTGTCCCAAGCAAAAGGCTCATCAGGGAGGATAGAGAGAAGGAGGAAGTACTATCAGCAAGTAATTGTTGTAGCAGTAACATGAACTTTTATAGAACAGATCACTCCGAAGGCAACAATTTTAGTCCAGATCAATGGAATTCCATCATGCAATACCAAGAGCTCGATCTCCTGGATTTCATAGAAAATGAATAGAGACTTTAAGAGCGTGGAAAAATCTATACATAAATTCCCAATGGTTTCTTCAGTGTGTTGATGTGTGGAGATATACAGAGTTTGTGATTACCGCCTACATAGACAGATTTGGTGATTTCTATTTCATATGAATTTGTCTGTAAATTAGTAGGGTGATTGCGAGATTTGAAACCTTCATGGATATTTATATTGTATTAATGTACTTATATTATAAGTACATATGGTAAATCAATAAATGCCTTATTGGCTATACTAGAGCTCAGATTAAAGGTCTGTTCATGTAATCTTTTGGCGTAAATTTAGAGAGCCTTAAGCTCTATTATTGCTGTAATTTACAGCGGAAAAACAAATTTGTTAAAGTAATATGGTTCGGGAAATGCTGTTCAACCTAGTGCTACACATCACAATGTCTAGAACAGAGCCATGAAATCATCTTTTCTACCAACTCGTTTCAGTGGTACTCTCATTTTCGTGAAAGAGAGAAACAAGGGAGAATACAATCAATTGTTCTTCCGAAATTAATTCCCTTTTCATTTGAACATAAAATTTATAATCGTTTTATCTTATTTTTTCTTTTTAAAATAAATTTACTAATCAAATCGGGTAAAATCCAAAGCCCCCTCTAAAATCCCCCTCAAAACATCTTAAAAAACACTTTGACTGCTGTTGGAAGTTGGAACTCCAAATCATCCAATTACAAGTACATGTAATCTTATTCTTACCCAAGCATTTGATTCAAAAGTGTTTTGAAGTTATATCTTCTTTCTAGTACCCTTATTGTCAAGCCCAAAAACCAAAATTCAAACCGAGAGCCACAATTTTGGGTTCCTACTGAAACCAAAATACAAATTATGCCTTCAAGTTAGAACTGGTAAAGCCTTCAAGTCAGAACTGGTAAAGCCATACCCGGCTGATTAACAATAAGTAATCAGCCAGTAGCAAGATTATTCCAACAGGGGATACGCTAGCATAAATGACAAAACCATGTCTCTCTCTCTCTCTCTCTCTCTCTCTCTCTCTCTCTCTCGACATCTGTTGCTGAGATTCTTCTAATCCAATAATTATGATAAGCTCTACCTAAATGACAAACGTATGGATTAGTATGACCTCTCTAAGAACATGTGTAAAGACTAAATTACTAGTAAATCTAACAGAGGTTAGAAATGATTTTCATTTCCCATTCTGCTGTATAGTTCAGCTATGAAATACTCGAAACTTTTTCACTTTTTTATTTGGCTCTATCTCCGCACTGAAATTGGTTTCACACACACAGGGTTCCAAGCAGTTTTGTATCCGTCTACTCAACACAACTTTAATCTCTAATCAATGAGAGAGTTATAATCAAAATCACATCAATAAATTGTCTGCATATGTGGCAAAACTTTAATGGTAGAATTTTGAGCAATGTATTCTAAAGAAGAAAATGAAGGCAGAAGTATCAACTTAAACTAATGCGATCAAATCTCCGTAAATTACATGATATACAAACATTTACGGTTGTCTTGAATTTGTTTAGAAAGATAAACTCACATTTTGCCAGTGTGACCAATGACTCCCACAAAAGAAACAAATCAAATACAAGATCAAGAACCATAGCAAGTCTCCAAAATGAAAGACAATGCAAGAAAAAGCCACAGCATACAAGGGAACACATTAACTGATCCTTTTATTGTCTCACTTCTTCAGAACACTGCAAGTGAAGAACATTTAAGGTTAAGGGTGACTTTTCAATGATAAAAACAAAAGAAGAGAACAAATCAGTTAATTTATCAACAGAGTTTCCACCTAAATCATTACTAAAAACTCTTAAAATATATCCCCAAACCTAACTGAAGTACACAGTATATGGAGTTCAATTAAAATTAATCTGTATGTCTATCTATATTCTATAATATAGAACACAGTTTGCGAGTCACTTTAGCATTAGACGGAAGCTTTCAATGAAGGATTTTTCTTCTTTTGTTCTTTATAAAGGCATGAATTTGAAGCTTACTTATATAAATAGGCAGCAATTCCCAGAACTATGCACAATAAGACGATATCAATACAGAAATTTCGGCTGGATCTCAACTGGACAGAACCAAAAACTTATGTCAGATCCAGCAAAGAAGCAAAGAAGCAAAAAGACAAAAATGGAAGGGAATCTACACTTAATGAAGTTATAATGAATCACCTGGGTGACAGTATCTTTAAGTCTAACATTGGTATTCTTAAGGTCAGCAGCTGCCTTGTCCACCTATAAACGTGTAAGGAACAGAATATATAACGTAAATCGGTAACCTTTAAACAGTTACAACAACATAATGGTCATGATGTTAACCTTGGTGTCAATTTCATCCATCAAAGGAACTTGCCTATCCAATTCCTACAAATACCACAGGATACAATTAAGTAGCCAGCATGAATGGTACAATTACTTGAACCAAATAGTTACAAATGACAATAAAGGCAGCTCTACCTCATTCATATCGTGAGCCATGTTCTTTAAAGTATCCAAACCTTCTGAAATCATATCCAAACCTTGGTCCTGTATGGATGTCAAAAGAAATAAAAAGTGAATCGTCACTCAATAAATGTGGCATATGCAATCAAAAGGCAAGCAAGCTTCCTTCCAATAGGAAAAAAGGATCGTAAAGAATAGCATCTGCACAAGTTTGATTTGCCTGCTTCATTTTCCGCATTTCATACTCCTGCCTGAACTCACTTGACTGCTCAGATTCTTGAAAGTATTCATTATCAAATCGTCCATCTATGACCAATATGAACATGAAAGTACAACAAATTATAAGATTTTCCAAACAAAAAATTCAGAGATCATAAGAAAGAGTTATTGATATGCCATGCATTATAAACTATAAGATTGAAAACTTTCCCACTGCTAACAGTCAGATGTTAATAAAGAAATAAGAGTGGTTTTGCACTTATGAGCGCAAGTAAACACCCTCATTGCTTTATTATTCTCAAAGCAATAAAAATTCAAGTACAATAATTTTAAATAGATTTGAGATAGCATTAAAATGCTCTCTCTTTCTCTCTCTCTCTCCTCCATTTTCTTGGGTTCCTACTATTATATCTATTTCTCCATCTTTATCTCCCAAATTCTTCTCATTTATCTTGGAGTCAAGTCATCGCTCTTGATCCATTTTTCTTCCAACTTTCGATCTTATGGTTGCAGCAGCTATTGTAAAACAAAATAATGCTCCTCACATGAGAAGCCACCACCAAATAAAACAAACCATTCTACCCCACCTACCCTCCCCAAAAACAACAAACAAAAGTAGGAAAAGATAACAACACATTAGGAGTTCAATTTTACTCAAGATGCTACAAAGAAAGATTTAAATCTAAAGATTGATAAGATGAAACAGCTAAACATGAAGCCTACCTATATACAATCTCAAAAAAAAATTAAAAAGCAATTTGAATGAAGTTAAGAATCACCTGAGTCAAACTTAATTTCAGTACGAGAAGCTGAAGATGCTGAAGACAACCAGCCTCCAGTTTGTTTAGGAGCAGCAGTTCCATCAGGTATAGCTTGAATCCTGTCCGGCAATGCAAGGACCAGATCATTACGAGCAGCCAGCTCTTCAGTTGACATCCCTTTAATCTGTAAACAAATTCCAAAATCTATTACAATGAAAGTCTAAACTAGTCAATTCTCAAGTCCACATATAACAAATTCCAAATACCCCTAAATATGTAAACGAAATACATTATAAAAATATAGCCTCTGCTTGTTTTATATAACAACATTACCAATCCATCAATAGTTAAAAGAGCTCACATTTACAATAAGTTGTAAATAAAATTTTGGAAATTTTAAAGAGAAGAAAAAAGTTAACCTTCTTAACAGCCAATCTCTGAAGCTTAGGGACCTCTTCAAGCAATCGAGCCTTGGTTCGACGAATCTCAGCATTCACTGCAACAGCAGATGCCTTACTTTTCTCCTTGGAAGCAAGCTCTGCTTTCTAAATCAAAACAAATTAAAATAGTTCAAATTGAAGGCATAGAACCCAAATTCTTATTGAACAACTCTCAATTAAGCAGAGAAGACTGACACTCTAAATCTCAACTAACCTGATCATAAAGCAAGCTTAAACCTAACAAATCTCAACAAAAATAAGCATAAACCATTAGATTAGATCGGAGTTACCTGAAGAGCGGATTCAATATCGGCTTCAACGGCGGCGTATTGGCGAGCGAAGGCATCGTCGCCGGAGACATTTTGGTCTCGCTGCTTTTCGACGTCGTATTTGTCGTACTTCTTACAGATCACATCCACTCTTGTCAATATATCGATCACACTCATCTTTTTTTTTTTTTGGTCAAATCGGCTTTGAGTTTACAGATCGGTTAATGTAGCTGTTTGGATGAAGAAAAAAGAAAGGAGAGTTTGATTTTTTTTTATTCTGTTTGTTTCCCCGTTGATGTTGGTGAAGGAACTAACTCAAGATTCAGAGAGTAAACGGCTTCAAAAAAAGGAAGATAACAAACTACAGGCTGTAAGTGTAAGGAAAATTTTTTTTTTGCCCTTTTCTAATATTGTTTTTTTTTTTTTTTTCTTAGGGCCGTAATAGGTAACTGGTAGCGTGTTTTATTTTGTAAAAATAAAGAATTTTGTTATTTGATGGTGTTACTTCCATGGGCTGGCCGGGCTGAGCAGGCCCGACCAGCTGTTCAAAAGTCCCGCGCGAGGCTCGGCCCGGCTCATGTAGTCTAATAAGCTCAATTTTTCTAAAAGAAAATTTTATTAAAGTATTAAAAAATAAAAATATTATTTTTTAATATTTTTAAAATTAAACTCAAATATAAAATAAAATTTAATATCGAATTTGGATTCTAAAATTCATATTCAAGATTTAATCTCAATCGAACTAAATTTGTTAGTCGAGTGATAAAGTCAGTTTGTGAATATATCTAATGCTACAACATCATTAATTATTGTAAATTTTTTAATATTTAAATATTAAAATTCTAATTAATTTAACCTTTTATTTAATTTAAAATTTATTTATTTTGCTTATTTTCTCTCTCACTTAAATAGCCATGCATATTTTGAAGCATGTAATAATGAACACCGAAACAGGAGGGGTGGTGGCTGTCATCAAGGATGCTGAAGAGAATAGGTCCTTGGTGATTTTGCTGCTAAAATAACTGATGTAGCAAACCCCTGTACGGTGGAAGGATGGGCAACAGTGAAAGCATTAAGGTTTGGTAAGGAAATGGGGTTCCCAACAGTTATGCTGGACGGAGATGCATTAAGGGTAGTACAAAAGTTACGAAGCAGAGAACAGGATTTGTCCCTGGTTGGCATTATTATAGAGAAGGCCCATGCACAAAACCTTTCATAAATGTCAAGTTATCCATGCTAGAAGGAATGGCAACCAAGCAGCAAACACACTAATTAAGTATGGAGAAATTTTGGATAAGATTTTTATTGGGTAGAGAATTATCCTAAATTTTTTTTGCTAGTCATTCACTCATATTGTAATAAGCTATTTGATGAAATTTCTTTTTACATTAAAATAAAAGCCATGCATATTTATATCTCTTTATTTTTTTTATTTCTTTTGATAAAATAATCATCAAAGATTCATCCAATGATAAAAGTAATGATGATTTTTGTTAGGGACATTTAGTGGTTAAAAAAGCATAATGGTTTTTCTTCATGTTAGAAGCATTTAGTAAACAATCAGGGATAATTCTATCATTTGTGCTGACATCACATAAAGGTTGATCTGACACATCCAGTGCCACATAAGCTCGATACTATCATCGTTGTCCCCTAATGATCTTTCATTGCTTATTTATAAATATAAAGATCCAGACACAATTAAAGCAGGTTTATATTACTTCTATTTCTCTTTATTATTCTCTTTCTGACCTCATTCATTTTGACTTGCACGTCAAAGTACAAACGCAGGAAACATTCTCTGTCTTTGTCTCTAACCGTTATTCTCTTTTACCTTTTTAGGAATACTCTGAGATCAGAGTTTGGTATAAATATTTGGTACATCAAGTAGGAATCCCTTTTTCATTCACTAGCTGAGTATAAAATAATGCTACAAAGGAAGAGAACCTTAGAGGAAGGAGAGACGACCATCCTAGCTGGAACAAAAACATATAATAACTAGCACTTAGAATGACCTCCCCCACCACAGATAGGCCCGACCATTGAACAATTTCAGGCCTTGACCAAGTAGATACAGGCTTTTAAACAAATGTTGCAAACCATAACCCCGCCATAAACTTTCAAAATACCCAACTTGATTACCCATAGCAGAGGACCTGTAGTTAGACAAAGCCTCTTTGGTCTCCAAAAGAGAGGAGCATAACACGTCAGTTTGCCATTACTCCAATAATAATTCGATATATGTCACAACTCAAAAATCTAAATAGATAAACCTTGAACCCTAACAAAGCGAGGACTTAGAATTTCATATGCAGGCTATGAAAAAAGAGTTGAAAACAAAAGCAATGGCATTTGAGAATGAGCTTAAGTTCTTGGAGACTTCACCTTTTATCAAAGAAATTGATAAAGCCATGCCTCCCAAGGGGTTCAAAATGCTGACCTTGAAAACTTATAATGGTACTTTCAACCCTTTTAATTATTTGAAACTTTATAGGACTAACATGATGATGCAAAGTGTAGATTAGGCCCTAATGTGCAAAAGCCTGGTTACCACCCTAAAGGGCATAGCTCAATCCTGATTTAGCAACCTGGAACTGAGGTCAATTGTAACTTCAAAGAGTTCAGCTACTCTTTCCTATCTAAATTTATGAGCTATCAAAGTGTGAAAAAGATAACTCTGACTTTGATGTCAATCCACCAAAGTTGTAATGAATTTTTAAAGGCTATGTCACACATTTTAACGTGAAAGCTATGTAGGTTAAAGACCTAGAATAAACGACTATTATAACTACCCTAACTAGTGAACTTAACGATAAAAAGTACCACATGAAGTTAACCTTATCATTGGAACCACTCAAAACTTTGTCTGATGTCTTGTTGATAGCTAAGAAATATATAAATGTTAAAGCTACAATGAAAAATAATAGAGGTAAGAGAGGCTCATCTTTTGGTTGTAAGAAAGACAAAGATTTATACGATTTTTCCCTAAAAAGAAGATGATATAGGGCTAGAAACTTCAACAGTGAAAGGAAACTATATTGCATTAAATACCTTTAGAGAGAGGATTCTGATGCAAATTGAAAAAAATTTTGACCTCAGATGGTTGAAGTCACTGAAACAAAATATAAGGAGAGATCTGATCAAAAGATATGTTTTTCATAGAGACATAGACCATAATACTAAAGATTGCATCGACCTAAAAAATGAGATCGAAGCTCTGATAAGGAAAGGTCAATTGAGAATGTTGGTAAAGCAGCGAAGACAGGGCTAACCTATAATAGACTGTAAATCAGATCGAAGAAAGTTCACTTAAAGTTAAGAGAAAAGGCTAAAAAATGAAAGAAAGAAAGTCCTAAAAGATAAGTCGATTCAAGAAGAGGTCTAAATTGATAACAATAGGCCGATCACCAGGGTTATTAATGTGATCACTGGAGGAAGCTCCACCTTAGCCAAAAGTAAGTTCAATCTAGGCATGGTCATATCAGTATGTACCTTGATAAAAAAGAAAAAGATTAGAGAGACGAACAGATCTCATTCAGCCTAAAAAATTTTGAAAGAATCCATCACCCACATGATGATGCTATAGTGATCACAATCATATTATATAACTATGTAGTTAAGAGAATCTTGTTTGATAATGAGAGCTCGATCGACGTCATATACTATGTTACTATGAAAAAGATGAAAATTAGTGAAGATCAGTTACAATCGATCATCATAATATTAGTAAGATTTAGTAATGAGCATGTACCAGTGAAAGAAACCATCAAGCTGTTGATCTTTTTAGGGATAGAGCCGAAGACCATCACCTTAATCATAGAATTTATAGTTTGTTGATGTCCCATCAACTGACAACATGATATTGGTAGACTAGCCAGTTTATTATGAGGCTCATAAGCTCAGCTCTTCATTTGAAAGTGAAATTCTTAACACTCAATTAAGTTGGAGAGGTCAAGAGAGAATATTCCATGGCATGATAGTGTTATGTCATAACAATAAAAAAGAAGGCTAAGAAGCTAATTGAAAATTTAGCTGAAAATAAAAGTATTGAAGAAAAATAAACAACGAAGGCTGACAAGAAGTAGAAAACCACAAATGAGAATATAGAATGCAAGACCAACTTGATAGAAGTGCACTTTTAAGCCACTTTGAGTTTTTAAGCTCTAGCAAAAAAATTTTTTTATTTTATTTTTTGAATTTTTTGAAGTAACTCCAAAGATGACCGAGCTCTTAAGTCAATGTGAATAATTACAAGTCATTTGAACCGAACTAATACACTAGCCAAAATATAGTAGGAAATGAAAAATACATACCAATTTCATGACATACATATATTCAACAAGTCATCAACAACATACTAATCATCACGTTGAAATCTATTTTCACAGAAAATGATCTTGACCTAACTAAACAAAAAACAATAATTGGCCAAAGATCAAACTTGGATGAAATCGATCTTAGTCAACTGAGAATCTAGTAGCCATACCATTTTAGGATAACATCATTGAAAAATATATACAGATCGAAGCCAAACTTTAGCATAGGGATCAGTTAATGCAACTTCTAAAGGATAATGTCAACTTATTTGCCTGGACACCATTCGATATGCTCGGGATTGATATCGAAGTGATGGTCCATTGGTTACATATTAATCATGAGGTAAAACCAATTTAACAAAAGAAGAGAACTTTTACCTTAGAAAGATAAAAGGCCATCGAATAGAAGATCGATAAATTACTATAAGTAGACTTTATCAGAGAGGTCTATTACCTCGAATAGATAGTCAACATATTCATGGTCAAAAAGCATAGTGAAAAATGGAATATGTGTGTTAATTTTATCGACCTGAATAAAGCATACCCAAAAGATAGCCTTTCTCTCTATAGCATAGATCGACTGGTGGATGATAGCATTAAACATGGCTTTTTCAGCTTTATAGATGCTTATTCTGGTTATAATCAAATCAAAATGCTAAAGGATGACAAATAAAAGATAACCTTTATTATCGAGAAAAGCCTTTACTGTTACAATGTGATGCCTTTCGAATTGAAAAATGTAAGAGTGACCTAAGAAATGCTAGTAAACAAGGTGTTTAAGAACTAGATTGGTCGTAATATAAAATTATATGTAGATGACATGATAGTTAAAAGTAAGAGCTTGATCAAGCACCTGAAAGACCTTAGAGAGACCTTTAACACCTTAAAAGTATAAAATGAGGTTTAACTTAAGCAAATATGCCTTTGGGGTCACGTTAGGTAAGTTTTTCGATTATTTGATCAACCAAAAGAAGATAAAGGTGAACTAAAAAAAGATTCAGGCAATCCTAAATATGAAGAAACCAATCTTAATAAAAGAAGTGCAGGGGATAACTGGTAAAATAGTCGCCTTGAGCCAATTCATGTCCAGGTCAGCAGAACG